GGGGTATCAGATGATGGTGGTACACGCCTGTAATGTCAGCAGGTAGGAGGCAGAGGCAGGCAGATCACAGTGACTTTGAGGCCAGTCTGGTTTACAGATAGAGTTCAAGGACAACCAGGGACACACAGAATTCAAAGACACACAGAGAACCTGTCTCAAAAAAATCAAAAACAAGCTGTGGTGGTTAGTTTTTGATCAGCTAGAATAATCTGGAAGCAGTAACTTCAATTGAGGAATTGCCTGGATCAGACTGGCCTGTAAGTAAGTCCATGGGGGCAATTTCTTGATTAACATTAAATGTTAAACAAGCCCAGTAGGCAGCACTCGTCTATGGCCTCTGCTTCAGTTCCTACCTCCAGGTTCCTGCACTGTTTGATTTCCTGCCTTGGTTTCTCAATGATGGATTGTGACCAGGAAGTGTAAGCCAAAAAACCCTTTCCTTCCTCACTTGCTTTTGGTCATGATGTTTATCATAATAGCAAACTAGGACATAAGCCAAATCCAAAAGCACATCACTAGAAATAACAATCAGGACTGAAATTAATGAAGCGAGGACTTAAAAGCACAATGCATACGGTCAGAGTTAGTTCTTTGAAGAGATTTAATAGATTGACAAATCTCAAGTCAAACTAAGAGGAATACAAGAAACACCTTTGCAAAATCAGAGATTAAAAAGGAACTTTTTATAACAGACACTAATGAAACCCAGAGGCATACAGGAATACATTAAAAATACAAAAAGGTAAAAATCTTGGAGAAAGGATGAATTCCTAAATACATGTGAGTTAGCAAAGTTAAATCAAGATATAAGTAACATTTACAGAGCCATAACACTAATAATACTGAAATGGTAATTAAAAGTCTCCCCACAAGAGATGAACCCCCAGAACCAAATGAACTTATTGCCGAACTCTACCAAATGTTTAAGGAAGAGCTAACACCTTCACGTCTCAAACTGTTCCAAAAGCAGAAAAGGAGGAAAATACCACCAAGCTCATTTTACAAAACTAGCATTACTCTAATATCAAAACCAGACACGGATGACAACAACAACAAAGTATAGACTAATTTCCCTGATGTAGGTATAAAATTTGCAACAAAATACCTGCAGGCCAAATTCAAGAACATATTAAACTCATACAGAACAACCACATTTTTTTTAAACCTCAGGGATGCAAGGCTCATTTAAGATCTACAATTCATATAACGAAAAAGACATAAATAGACTAAGAACAAAACTCATATGGTCATCTCAATCTGTGCAGCAAAAGCATCTGACAAAGCTCAATACGCTTTACCATGACAGTCCCGAAGAAACTAGGACAGAAGGAATAGAATGGTCCTGCAAATGTCACGACTGAATTTTCTTTATGGCTGGAAAAAATTCCATTGTGTAGATGTACCACATTTTCTTCATCTATTCCTGTGCTCATGGGCACCTAGGCTATTGTGACTAGCACAGCAACAGAGTGACTAGATTATCCCAGAGTCAGGACCTTGAAGAAATTCCTTATGCAGTTGGAAACTGCTGATTAAAAAAAAAAAAAATTATTCAGAACCTCAATGACAGAATGATAAAGTTACAGAATATGAAACTATGAATGAAAGTAAGACGGGAGTGAGTGTTTTATAACAAACAACAAATAAAACAACAACAACAAAAACCAGACAGAAAAACAAAACCAAGGCTGCAGGTGTGGAATTCACATTTTTCTTTAGTTGGGAGCAGAGAGACTTAGGCAGTGTTGAGTGAAAGCACCTGGAACTAGTGTTTCTATTTGATGCTAACAGAGATGGAACCCAACACAGAAAATGAGGGGACAATCCTGGGTCAAAACAGAGTGGGAAGAGAGAGCATGCAGAATGCAGGTACAAGAATCAGGAAGGCTGGAGCCTCTAAAGGGAATAACATAGACTCTATGTTGAGCTGGTGCTCTTCTCTCCCCAGGTGATGCTGGCAGCTGGGGACAGTGGTCCTCTGCTGTTACACACTACGTACCTTCCAAGGAACCAACAGGAATGCAGGACTCCTCAATCCATGGCTCTGTCCCTTGCTCTAGTTGGGAAATCATATCAGGTTTGGAAACCTGGAGCCCTGCTCAGAGGGGGGAAAAAAAGGAATCTGTCTGCAATAAGGAAAAAGTACCATATCAGAATGCAGTCTCACCATTCTGTCTCTAAGATACTCTACATGGGAGAAGTCTGGTATGATGAACAGCATGTCAAATGTCTTCACAATGGGACAACTGAGAAGCTCATCTGAGGAGAGGAGAATACTCCACCTAATAATGAGGAAAAACTTCTAAGATCTAAAACTGCTGGTTCCTAGATCAAGATGCCAATCACATTTATGCACAATAATGTGCCTCTCACATCCATCTAAACTTGGGGCTCCCCTCACCTAAAAAGGTGTGTGTTTGCCTCCCCAAACCATATAAACTGAAGGTCACCCTTAGCTACAGAGACCAAGTGTGTACCCTCTCCCCACATCCTGATCTTAACTTGGGGGGTATCACACTCACCTATAGAGACCAGATGTGTATAATTTTCCAATGTTACATCTCTGAACAAATCTCTCTGTGTAGGATCTAGGTGTTTCCATTCCTCCTGAGTGAAGTTCACAACCACATCCTTGAAGGTCACTGATTCCTAAAATAGCATGAGAAAGGTCCTAGGTTCAATCCTCAGCACCAAAAACAAAAGCCAAAAAGCAAAATAAAACAAACAAATCTTTTCCCCTGTAAAGTGCTCAATTAGGGCATCTAAGTAAGTGCTCAGTCTATTGGCCAATGCTGTCCTTGTTCTTCCTCCTTATCTCTGAGTGCTAAGATACAGCAAGTACTACATTATACCTGCTACAATCAATAACATTTTAATATCTATGATGTGCAGGACTATCCAACAACTTTATGGCAGACTTGCTCTATTACATTTCTTTCTGGGAGGAGGGAAGAGGGGAGGAGACAGTGCTCTGAATAGCACTGGCTGTCCTGGAACTCACTTTGTAGATAGACTATGACAGCCTCAAACTTAGTGATCTTGATCTGCCTCCCTCTCTGCCTCTCTCTGCCTCTCTCTGCCTCTCTCTGCCTCTCTCTG